GGCCACACCCAGAGAGTGGTAGTGGACAGGTCATTTTTAACCTGTGGGGATGTGGGCAGTGGAGTCTCCCAGGGCTCGGTCCTTGGACCCACACTGTTCAACATCTTCATCAGTGACTTGGACAAGGGGGTAAAAAGTACCCTGTTTAAATTTGCTGATGACGCTAAGATGTGGGGGGATGTGGGTACACTAGAAGGGAGGAATAGGCTGCAATCAGACCTAGACAGGTTACAGGGGTGGGCAGATGAGAACAGGATGGGTTTCAACACTGACAAGTGCAAGGTGCTGCACCTGGGGAGGAAGAACCAGCAGCATACCTACAGGCTGGGGAACTCCCTTCTTGTCAGTGCAGGAGGCAGAAAAGGATCTTGGAATCATTATTGATGCCAAAATGAAGATGGGCCGACAGTGTGGGGATGCGGTCAGGAAAGCCAACCACACCTTGTCGTCCATCCACAGATGCATCTCGAGCAGGTCCAAAAAGGTGATCCTCCCTCTCTATGCGGCACTGGTCAGGCCGCAGTTGGAGTACTGCATCTATTTCTGGTCACCCCACTTCAGGAGGGATGTGGGCAACGTGGAGTGGGTCGAGAGGAGGGTCACTTGCATGATCAGGGGCCAGTAGGGCAGGCCCTATGAGGAAAGGCTAAGGGACCTGAACCTGTTCAGCCTCCACAAGAGAAGGCTGAGTGGGGATCTAGTGGCCTGTTGCAAACTAGTCAGAGGGGACCAGCAGGCATTAGGGGAGTCCCTGTTCCCCCAAGCACTACCAGGAGTGACTAGAAATAATGGTCACAAGCTGGCAGAGGATAGATTCAGACTAGACATCAGGAGGCGCTACTTTACAGTCAGGGCGACTAGGATCTGAAACCAACTTCCAAGGGAAGTGGTGCTGGCTCCTACCCTGGGGGTCTTTAAGAGGAGGTTAGACGAACACCTTGTTGGGGTCATTTGACCCCAGTACTTTTTCCTGCCATGCCATGGCAGACTTGATGATCTGCTCAGGTCCCTTCTGACCCTACCAACTATGAAACTAGGAAACTCAGCTGAGTCCTAAATGGATTCCCCAAATTCGGGAACAACCAGTCTTTTTTATCAGCTCAGAAGCTAGGGCCAGAACATGTTCTTCTTTTCTAGGGCTTTCCTGAATCTGCCTCTTTTCTAAAGCACTCCCATTAGATTTCATACCTTCCAAATTGCCTATTTGTTTCTGGGGAGAATTATTAATATTATGCAGATGAGTTTTCTTTCTCCACCAGATGGGTGTGACTGAAGGTATATCTGCCCCTGTATCACTCCCCTTTCCTGACAAAAGTTTTGCGCCCATTTGCTTAGCCATTGTTTCAGTCCATACAGGGGAGAAACATGGCATTCTCTGAATTGGAATAGCTATTGTTTCTCCAAGGTCCATTGTCATCACCCTATCTGGTCTAGCAGTTGGGTTCCTTTTGGGTGTAAAAAGGGCTAACTACCCTGCCCAAACCTTTACAGTTACAGCAACTATTGTTTCTTAGCCACATATATCTAGCCAAGATGCATACCAACTGTTACATTATGAAATTACAAAACTATTTTTATATCAAATACTGTAATACAGACAGATGTAAAAATGACAAAACTGAACACAACTTCACATTAGCTACAAACAGGGCACATATACATGACATGCTGACTGTTCAGTAGCTGAAAAATACTGCACAGTAGTGTATCACAGCATGGACAGTACTAATATGCTACTATGCAGTATTATTAGGCTACTGCTCAGTAGCATCACGTAAAAGATGTTTGTCGGTGCTACTGTGCAGTTACTCCAGTTACTGCAGATTTATTTAGTAATTGTTAATACAAGTGCAAAATTAATGCACAGTAACAAGTGTGCAGTAGCATCTCGTGTAGATGCACCTGTAGAAACCAAAAGTTACACAAATAAATCTAATTTAAAAGAATAGTCATGCATGTCACTTGGTGAACCCCAAAGGCAGTTTGGTTTGTGGGTGAATCTGTGACAGTTGGATCTAGTCCAAGCACCGCACCAGAGCTGTTTCAAGACTTCCAGCAGCAGGGACCTGGTTTGCCCTGCACATCCAGTGGCAGGTGCAGATGCAGGGGCACCTTCCAGCCCTAGTTCCCTTTGCTTCATTCCACCGTCCACCAGTGACAGGGACCTGGCTCATCTTAGCATGAGAGGAACAGATGCTCCCATGCTGGCAGCGCTGGGTATGCAGTGGGGAGGGCATGGGCTCCAGGCATGGAGTACTGTGTCCAGTTTTGGGCATCGCACTTCAAAAGGGACACAGAGAATCTGGAGAGGGTTCAGAGGAGGGCCACTCGCATGATTAGTGGCCTTCATGAAAGACCCTACGAGGGGAGGTTGAGGGATCTGGATCTCTTCAGCCTTCACAAGAGACAGCTGAGGGGAGACCTTGTAGCTGCCTATAAGTTTATCAAGGGAGGACAACAGGGAATTGGAGATGCGCTATTTACCAGAGCGCCCCTAGAAGTAACTAGGAATAATGGGTGTACAAACTAGTGGAGAGTAGATTCAGGTTAGACATTAGGAAGAATGTTTTTTTATAGTAAGGGTGGCCAGAATCTGGAATGGCTTCCAAGAGGGTGGTTCTATCACCTAACTTGGAGGTCTTCAAGAGGTGGCTTGATAGTCACATGGCTGGGGTCATCTGACCTTGGTCCTCGTTCCTGCCGGGGGAGGGGTCAGACACAATGATCCATTGTGGTCCCTTCCAACTCTACAGTCTATAAATCTATGAATCTATGGGGGTTGCACGTCCTCATAAGTGGAGTTATGAGATGTGGTACACAGTGCTGGGGGTCAGTGTTAGGGGGACACAGCTGTCCAACCCTGTCATGGTAAGCATTACTATACTACTGCTTAGAATACATTTTTACTTGTAAGAGGGCACAGTAATGCTTACTACAATTTAAATAAAATGCATGCTAAGTGTCCAAAGTAACAAGGCCCTAAAGACCTGAATTTTTTAATACACAAATGATGTCCTTAATATGAACATATTTTTTTGAAAATTCAGCAAAAAAAAATTTACATTTTGACATGCACAGTTAGGTTTCTGTTGATCTAGGTGTGAACCAGGTGAAAATGGTGTGATCATTAGGACATTTTTATTGGTAATCTGAAATCAGAAATCCCTCTTAGAGCTGTGAACTGACAGTTAAATGTAAAAGCACCCAGAACACTGATAGATAATGTACTTAACTGCCTGTCTAAACTGTGTAAAAATTTGCAAACTCATATTGTTATAATATAGTTTGACTTGAGTAAAGGTAGTCCACATCGTATCCAGAACATTGTGTTGAACACCTTTTTATGTAAGAAATAGGTTTACCTTCACCAAATCATTGACCAAGTTAAAGTATAACTCTCAGTGTTTGCAAGCTAATTTAGTTGTCTAATCAAAGTGACACAGGGAGCTCCTACACATATGGAAGGAGCCTGCTCCAATGTGCTGGAAATCCAGCATGTCGGAGCAGACTTGATTAATTGAGTCTGCTGGAGCACGGAAGTTGGCGCTATCCAGCAGCCTCACATGTCATGTGTATTAGTGCCATTACACGTCTCAACGCTGACAAAATGGCAGTGAGGCACTTTGAAATAAAATGCATCTAATTAACTTTAGTTCAAAGTGTCCCGCCATCATTTTTTCAGAACAGACATGTATGGCTATACTGATACACGTGACAAGCGGGCACTTTTAATTAGTGCAGCTTGGTAATTAAAGTGCCTGGCGTCATGTCTGGGAGCACATGTAAAAATGCTCTGTGTGATCACAGAGAGGCTTTTCAGTTCTTCAGCAGTTGAACTGAGCCCTTGATTTCATACAGGGCCAATAATGAACACAACAGATATTAAACTGTTAACAAAACTAGAAACACTACAGCCTGATTCAAAGCCCATTAAAGTGAGTTAAAAATAACTTTTCTTAACTCTGTTGGCTTTGGCTCAGACTCCTAATTTTTTAATGAATTCCTTATACAAAAACAACTTGTCTACAGCCTTTTCTTGCCACTCCCTTTGGGAGGAAAATGCTTTGTATGTTATATCTGTGTACAAAGTGTAGAGGGAATTGATGTTAAAAATGTTTCCAGCTGAAAGTAGAGTTAAAGGATCACTTGTCTTTCCTTCTCTAAAAAATTATTATGATCCTGTCAACATTACATAATTATTTGCTGATGTGTTCTGTGATTGAATCTTCAGGGTTTGTTTGTTTTTCCCTTAATCCAGTAGCACATATGTAACCAACGTAGCATTGTGTTGTATTCCAATTACCATTTTTCTTCATGATCTTTTTTCCCTTTCACTCATTGCAGCGTTGTTTCAAATCAGACTGTAAATTCTTCAGAGTGTTTCTGCTGATACAGCACTAATCATGATTCTTACTGGGGCTCAAGCTGTTTGGAATTTATTTATTTTTTAATTTTTTGAATAATTTTTATTAGCAAAGCAGTGATTCATACACACACACACACACACACACACTGGGAATGTTAAGTCTCAGTGTGTGCATTTACTTGAGATGCTGACTGAAAAATTCTGCACAGTAGCATGTCACACGATGGACAGTGCTAATATGCTGCTGTGCAGTATTATTAGGCTACTGGACAGTAATGTCACTTTAAAGACGTTTGCTGATGCTACTGCACAGTAACTGTGGTTACTGAGCATTTGTTTAATACTTGCTAATACAAGTACTGAATAAATGCGCAGTAACAACTGTGCAGTAGCTTCGTGTGTAGATATGCCCAGTAATTATGTAACTTGAGAGAGACTGATGTCAAATCATTATGGTTTTTAATAGTAGTAGATTAACATTCAACCTTTCTAAATATCTTATTTTGAATCTAATTTGAAAGAAATTTTCCAGCACAGGATTTTTCCTTCTTTTCTTCAATGAGAAAAATATGAATTTCACATACAGCATGATATTAACTCACGATATCACCTATCTTCCTTTCTTCATTTTTAGGTCCTTTAAGTTCTGGTACTGACCTTTCCAACCACTACTATGGCACAAACAGCAGTTCTGTTGCAGCTGCCATCCTGGTACCATTCTTTGCTCTAATATTATCAGGGTTTGCATTTTACCTCTACAAACACAGGTATTGTCAATGTTATTTCTTCAAAAACTTAATACATTTTTTGTTTAAATTTGGGCGGATAAATGTTCTGGGACCTGGGGAATATGGTGGTAAAACATTTTAGAATGTCTTCCTTACTCTAAAAAGGAAAAATATGCCTGAGTTCTCCCACACAGAAGTTCATTGCAGAACAATTCTTAATGGCAAACATTTAAAGAAATGAGTCACCATGTTAAGGAGCCAAAATCTATAAAACTTTTTGGTTCGTTAGGTTGAATCAGATTAAAATTTTAGGGCAGATAATTTATCCTATCATTTTAGAGTTTTATTAAATATAATATATGCTGATTCCTTCAATGTACTTATAGTATTAATTATAAAAGTTAGAAAATCTATAAATCCCATGAGGCAATAGCCTGTAATGCAACTACTTACAGTGCATGCTGAATAAGCTTATAGAAAATACTTCTGTAATTGGAATAGCCTCATCTTATATGTAAATTATGCAAATTTGGTTCATAATGTCTGAATAAATCCCTTGAGTTGTCAGAAATGTAGTGGAGAAACCTGCATCTGTATATGCACTAAAATTTTGCTCCTACCAGTTAATGGTGTTGGACTAGAACTTTATCATATAGAAGAAATATATTTTTTGTGACCAGCTGTAATGCCTTATGGCTTTCACCTGTTTTACTTGTAATTTTCAAAATGGCATTTTAATGAAAAAAAAAGTTTTTCTAGCCATACTCTTGTGGGCTCTTTGGTCCTTCATCTCATCATGGTACTTTTTGATATCAAGAATGAAAGTTAAAATACTGTACTCCGCCATGGGCCTATGCCATAATTTTATAACTTGGCTATCCACCTACCTCGTCATTACATGGTATGGCAAAAAGAAAGTGATAAGGGGTTTAGACCGGTGAACTCCAGTTAACGTGCTGTATATTTTGACAAATAACAGTGTCTTTGACTGGGAAAAAATGTTTAAGAAAATCCCTTTGATCTCTGGTCAAGACTCTGTTACAGGGAGAGATTGTGCTGTACAACCTACTCTTCATTTCTAAATGTGCCCAGTACCAGAATGGGGGGAAAATGTTATATAGCAGCAAGGAGTCACAAGAGTTTAGGTCCTGTCAGAACATGGAATGTTGAAGGCACAAGATGCCCGACTAAGTCTACTGTTAGAAAACCAAATCAACAGAACTGTACTAGATGTACAACCTAAAGGATGCTTATTTTAATATACTTAATGAAGGTTTATTGCATGTTATATGATCCTTGGGACTAAATAATTGATGAATTTTTATTCTAACTAAAAATGATAAAAATTTAAAAATGGTCTTCAGAAGAACATTTGTATTTATTTTGTTTATGGTAGTGTTTGCTACAACCTTGCTGCTCTGATACTTTTATCAAACATTAAAACCTAGTGATTTATATAAGGGGATGTTACTCCTTAACTTGCCACATTTACTCAGATCCAAGATGAGAATTTCACCCGCATTAAGCATGGGGAAAAGCCCCTTGTCTTTGATTCAAGTACAGGCCAGGGGACATGGGGGTCAAGACACAGGCAGTTGTTGTGGCTCTGACGCTGGTCCTGTTCTGGGCTCAGGGTCAGGATCAGAGATGGAGTTGGAACTGCTACCTCTGCCACCCTGACACTTACCTCCCCTCTACTGCCACTTCTTCCAATCCTCCCCACACAATGCCTATCCTCCCCACCCATCATTGCTGCCAGCTCCAGCTCTGGCCTTGGCCTCAGCCCCAGCCCAGCCTAGCTCCAGGCTGAAACATGGAACACATGGTTTCTCTGGCCCTGCCTAGCCACATAGAAGTGGTTGCATCAGTAGCAGCTCAGGCTATATGGTATATGGTTTCTCAGGCTATATGGTATATGGTTTCTGACCCAGAAACAGGGTCAGAGTTGCTGCCATCAGCGCCAGTGCTTCGTGACCAGACATGACAGGAGCAACCATGTGCTCTCTGTCCCTGGCCAGAGTTGGAATGGGGCTAGAGCTGGGGCCAGAGTTTAAGTGGTGGTGGAAGGGGAAAGGAGAGGAAGGGTACAGAGGTAGTGGTCAGGGGTTCAGAGGCAGTGGAGGAGAAGGGGTTGCCAGTGGTGGGGTGGCAGAGGTGGCAGCATTGCGGGGGAGGTAAGTTTTCAACTTAAAGGATCACTTTTCTTTCCCCTTCTAAAAAATTATTATGTGGCTCTTAACAGTAGGTGGGTGAGGAGGGGGCAGTGCCAGTGGGTGCAGGCACGGGTGGCAGGTGGGAGGGTGGGCAAATGGTAGGAGGCTCGTGCCAGGGTATGCAGGCACCAGGGAAGCAGGCAGCCAGTGGTGGTGGGGACAGGTTCAGGGGGCAAGGGGTAAAACCTTGACTCCCCTGCTGCTTGCCCTCCCACCATCTGCCCCCTTACCACTGGTTCCCTGCTGCAGTGGTAAGGGGGGATGAACTTAAGATGACTCCCAGATAATTAGATTCTAAACATGAAAAATTATACATTATTTTTCCATGAGTGTAATCTAATTATTGGGGGGTCTTACATTCTAATTATTGGAATCTTCCTTTGAAAGTTATCTTGGATTTGGGTAAATATAGTAAAGTTGGAATAACTATTTTTTCTTTTCTGTATTTTCTCAGTATACTATTCCAGTAAAACAAGATGTTTCAGATAGATTATCAGTGTCATATTTAAGATCATGTCCAGAATCAGGAAATTGATTATTAGTGCACAGGCCCATATGAAAACACAATATTAACTGTATCAATTGACACTGATTACTATTCTCCATTCTAGAAAGGCTCGGGATGAAATTTTGTGCAGAACCTCATACAACATAGAAATCAAAGCCCTAAGGAGGTGAGGAAGAAAAGGAAAGGTCACTTTAAGTGACTTTTTCACCCTGCCAGTTCTACTGAAACTTGTGAGATACCTAATGTATCCTTAGATAGCCCTGGGAGTCTGCTTAAGTTATGAAACCTACTGGAGGTGCCCTTAGGGATACAGTAAATCCCAGAATCTCTATAATGAAATGTGATCCTCATCCCAACCCCATCATGCCCAAGCCTATATCCTGGCCACATCTGGTATTCCCTTACCCAGAGTTTATACAATGACAGATTAATGGCTGCTTTCTCATATGCCTGTGTCAAGAGAATGCTTCCCATGTTACAGTCAGGACTTATGGGTTTCTCTTAATTCAGAACTTCAAAACCAAATGAATCTGGGTATACTATGCTCTGTTGACTGTTAATAAGTAAATAATTTCCTACTCTTGGTTACCCATTTTTTAGATATAGTTGTTGAGAGGGGCAAAGATAGAGTTAAGTAAGTTATTTCTGTTGTATAGCAGGTAGACTGCAATTTCTTTGGTTTTGGTGTTGTGTAATATTTTAATAAGTTTTTAATTAAAGTAAATACATTTATTCCTGAATACATTTATAATATTTGCCAACAAGTTTGTAAGTTAAATGAAAGTAAAAGGAAAGTAAAATGGTAGTCACAATGAAGAGTTGGTTCTTGAAAACAAAATCTTTATGCTATTCACTACTCCAATTTCATAGTTTCTCTGAGTATTGGTCAATCTAATTAGTTATCTAAATTCAAACACTCAAATACTTATTTAGGAACCAAAGGTCATTTTTTTTAACCAGAAAAATTTCAGTCAATGGGAGCTGTAAGTTTCCACTTGCTCTGCAAATCAGACCAATTATTTAGGTAGCTAAATGTACTGTTAAGTGCTCAAGTCTAAGCACATTTATATAATGACTTTAAATTAATCTCCTCCATCTTTCCATCTACTTCTACTAAATAATTACCTCATATTACCCTAAATAAAATTGTACCACCCCAGATAAAATTGGAGTAGTATGACTGTAAATCCCATATAAAATTATGATGAAGAAAAGGTTAAAAGCACCTGCAAAGTCAACATGAAAGCAGAGCAAAGAAAGAAAAGAAACCAAAATTGGTCAGCTAAACAGACTTCTATGATTCTGACTCTAAAATCAACCATTTAGAAGTATCAAAATAACTATTAAACAATTTGCACACAGTATGCATTTAACTGAAGGTAGTATTCATTTGACTGAAGTGCTTAAATTCTTCAGAATAAGAAGTTAAATTAATTTACTTAACTTTACCTGAAGACAGGTGTAGAGCTGGTCAAGTTCTTAAATGAAAATGCCCATAAAAATATTAAGACCACTTTTAATGATGATTTGTATTACTTTTTCCATCCAACCTTTGTTTCTATTTTGGCTGCCTTTTTTGGCACTTAGAACAGACAATACAGTTGTCATGTTTTTGACAGACTTTGCTAGACAAAATGCATACCTATGCTTGACTCCATTGTTTCTGTTCTGTGTAGTGTCAGCTTACCCCATAGAAATATATGTTCTTCTTATCACTTCTTATATGTAGTTCCCATAGTTGTTGGTCCCCCTCCACAAGTTTATTAGGACAGGATAACATTCTTGTATTGAATGTATGGATCCTATACAGTAATTATTGTTAAAAATGTAGTAATTCTAAACTTTTATTTTTAATCATTGTTAATAATATTTTCTTCTCCTTTTGTAGAACAAGACCAAAAGTACAGTTCAATGGGTATGCTGGACATGAAAATAGCAATGGACAGGCTTCATTTGAAAATCCCATGTATGACACAAACTTAAAACCCACAGAGGCAAAGGCTGTGAGGTTTGACACGACTCTGAACACAGTTTGTACAGTGGTATAGCCTTCAGTGCCCAATCTGACTGATTCATAGCCATACCTCTGATGGACAAGCAGTAATTCCTTTGGTGCCATATACCAGTTTCCCTTCTTCTCTTGGCTTTGCTGCTGTAATCTTTAACATCTTCTGCCGGCATACATGCAGCTAAATTTTCTGGTAAAACATGTCAGTCT